CCCGGCCCCCACGGGCTCCCGGAGGGCTCCTCGCAGGGGACGGGTCAACCTGGACTCTCTGGGCGAGCGCATTAGGCGCCTCGCCGCCCCCACGGTAAATGCGCCGTTTCGGGCCGCTGCGATCGCGTGTGCGGGTAGCCAGGCAGGCGAGCCGGGTTGGCGGGATGCATAAGCACCCACCAGGGAGAGGAGGCTGATCCGGGGGGCAGGAGGAAAGGGGCGGCGGACCTCCACCTCGCGTGCTGTGTTGGCGCTGGACGCGGTGCACGCGGCTTGAGGGGGCTTTTTCACTTCCCCGGAAGGATCCTGTAATCTGGGCTCGCTGCGGAAGAGCAGCGCTCGACCCGCCATCGAAATTCCGCTAGCCCCCCGCCCCCCCCGTCGCCCACTGTTTCCACGATCCGGGCTTCAAAAGCGCGGCCACAGGTTGTCCCTCGCGCAGGTGTCGCCTGGCCCGCTCCTTTCGCCACCCCTGCACCGCTGCTGACCCTCCTGAATTAGTTGAGGGGAGTTCCTCTGGTTCCAGGCGCTCGGGCATTATTCTTTCCTCAGATTCCCATCAAAGTGATCAGAAACATCAGGAATTCCCGGACATTTTGCCCTTCTAAGTGGCTTCATTCAGAATTTAGACTCATTTCAGAGGATTCCTTTCTCATTTAGCCTCTTGCCCTCTTTTATGGAACATTCCCTTCTGTAGCCCCATCTTTTCCCCTTGCATCTTCTTTGTTTCCCTCTAACTGCACACCCAGTTCTTTATGGGGGGGGGGGGAATAAATAAATAAATATGCAACCTCTTTTGACTGGCAGCAGTCAGTCCCTCCAGAAGACATGAAAGGTGAGGATTGCAGCGCTGCTTCTGCACTTATCCCCAAACATTTGATCCTTCTGCTGCTCCCTTCCCTTCCTAGTGGGGTTATTCTCCTGAGAAATCTCCCCCACAAACCCACAGAGACAGAAGGGAAAGAAATAAAAAGCCTGTAAGTTCAGACGGAGTTTGCTACTGAATACTTGTGGCACAGGAGTATTGCTGTTTCATGGCCAAAAAAAAAAAGAAAGAAAAAAGAAAGGGTACTGCCTGCAAGCTTTCCAGAGGCATCTAGATAATGAGAAGCAGAGTGCCTGTCTAGATAGGCCTCTTGGTCCAGTCTATCAGAGCTTTTCCTTGGCTTTCTTTTGCTATTTGTAAGACTCTCCCAATGGTCTGTGAATGATGGGCCAAACATACCATTCTCCAGTTCTGCCATGACACATATCATCTGACTCAGCCATTTTTGTTTACTGCCTTGCCATGCTGTAGTGTTCTTATAAGAATGCTGTGGGAACATGGTTTAGATGTTTATTTCCCATGAATCATCTTCCAATACAACACAGTCCTTCTCTTCTTTTTCTTTTTGCAAAGTTTATTTCACTTCTTTGATCTAGGCGCTTGTTGCTTCACACACTTCTCATCAAAGATAAGTGAAGAATTTTCTCTGCCCAACTTCACTCTTTATCCCATTGCTGGTTTCCTTCCAATCTTGGCTGCTGATCCTCTCATTTATTGATGCATCCCATTCCAACAGAGATCTTGGAAGTTCTCGACGTCTGCTTGACCCTTTCCAGCTGTGAAGTCTCATTAGGATGCACTGACTTCTACTCCTGAGTGGGATTATCCTTTTTTTTTTTCACCATTAAAAAAGTCTAAAGATGGAAAAAGAATTTGTTTCCCTTTCTGTCTCTTGACCATTCCATATTATTTCTGCCAAGCTGCTCTGAATTCTGAACTTGTTTGTTTCTCCTAGGGGAAGAAATGGTCAAGTACAGCTTGGATACATACTGTTTTGCTTTATGTAACACCATCAGTTTAGCCTGTGCTCTCTAGTGATGTTCATTAGTCTCCTCAGAAGAGTCCCATGCATAAGAAACTACACTTTGCTCTTTTAATTGCTGTAGATTAAACTTGTTCATTGCAACTCTTGTCATTTTGCTCAACAGTATCTGATGATTCCCACCATCTTAGCCCAGCTTTTGGTTATTCTTGTGGCTGGAAGAACATGTTATAAAGAGCCAATATGACGACTTTTAGAAGATGCTGCTAGGAACGTCATCAAGATAGCAAAGAACCATCAAGTTCATAAGTGAGGCATTATCTAGAATGCAAAAAAGGAAGAACCCAGCAAATTATCTTATTAGCTTTTCAGGAAGGAAAGAAGGAAGGTTCAGATTTTAGATCCCTAAAACATGGAACGCTTCGCTAGGACACTGGAAGGAATCATGATTTGGAATCATGTATATATTAATGCTGGCTACAACAAAATGCTGGACTAAAATGCCAGTCAGTTTTTTTCCCCCAGAATAATCTATTTAATTCCCTCCTTCTGCCTGTTTTCAATCCCTTCTACCAAAAGTTAGCTGGTTTTCTAAGTCTGCTGAATATGCTTTAATCCTCATTGGGTTGCTTTCGGGTTCTTCCTTGCTTTTTTCCTAAATACTCTTGGTATCTCTGTAAACTTTGGGGTTACCCCAAGGCTTTAGATATCTCCTTGTAGGTGGGTTGTGACAGGCCCATGTTGCTCTTTGTGTGTGTGCGCGCGTGTGGATATGTATGTATGTATCTATCCATCCTTGTAGAATAAAAGCAGTTGGGTTGGGGGAGGGCAGTTTGAGAAGGGAATTGGGGAAGGGTTAGCACCCCTTTTCTGTAACATTTTCCCTAATAAATACTAAAATAAGAGCTAAAAATAAAATAGTTACAGTAATATGGCACCTATACATAGTTCCAAGAATCTGTTTTCAGTTATATAATTCAGCCCTGGGATATGCCATTGCCTTCTTAGTAAAAGCCATTCTATCACTATTGCAAAGAGGCAGAACAAATGATAAAGCTATGGGGATTAGCTTTATGCTGGATGCCTGTATCGTCTGAGCAGGGACCAGATTAGCCCCAATTTAATGTTTCTTTCCACCCCATAGCTGCCATTCCCTTTTATGGTATGTCTCCGAGAAATCCACCTTTAGTTGAGTAATGCTCAGCAGTTTCTTGATTTGATAGACATCTGAAACCAATTATATTAGAGCAATGGTATATATTTTTAGAGTCTTTTGATGCTCTGACAACTGAAAATAAAAACCTTTTTAGTTAACTGCATAGAAAGACTAGAGGACATAGTCATCTTTGGTAGCAATCCATAGTGCCTCCATCATCTTCCATTTTATTTTGTGAAGCTTATAATAATGTACAATATGTTAAAGGTGAAATTGGTACCCCTGAAACCTTCGAATCAATTTCAGTAGGGATTAGGTTTTTTAAAAAATAATCTGTGCAATGTTCCATACATATTGATCAGTTGTGTCCAGAAGTGCAGCTATGACTCTCCACTGCAGTGAATTGGGTTTTCACATTACTGAACAATGCATGTTCTTTTCATGACCAACAGATTTTATGTATTCACTTTTAGGGGAGCATTTATGTTTCATTCTGTTTTAGAATAGTTCATTTTGGAGGTAGTAAAATCCCTCAGGATTTAAAAATGTTCACTTTTAACTGTGGACAGAAGCCATTATATATGCTTGTATGGGTCAGAAGCCAACAGGAACAAGTTGGTATCTTCATTCTAATTTCTGATTTCAGGCAGAAGTACAGGAAATTAGATTACCTTTACTCCCTTCCCTTCAAATATAATGGCATTTACACTGAAGTTTATTTTTAATTCTGACTTTTGATGAAATATTTTTAGATGAGCTTAAAAAAAAACTAGGCCACCAAGAATTTTCATATTTTGAAATTAGGATAGTCCCATGTGGAGTGTGGTTTTGCAAAAAGCAAACTGCTAGATATTAGAAGTATTTTTCAGAAAAGGTGGGTGCAAAATGGATTCATGCATGCTATTTTTGCTGGAGCTGAGTAGTTCATTCAGTGACTGGGGATAGAGATTGCTGTATAAAACAGGCTATTTATTATGGCCCAGGTTATTGCCTGTAAGTGATAGGAATCAGTGTGTGATTTGTCAACTGTAACCAACCTCCTGATATTTTGAAAAGATTTGTATCTGAACTTGGTTGCATTGTTAGCCTATCAAAGGAAAGGTTCAGTTTTGCTTTTGACATTTTCTTTCTATTTACGATGACAAGTTGATATTCAATAGGGTATATCAGGAAAGATAAGGAGAATTACCAATGGGCTGAAGAGATAGATTATTCTCTTTATATGCCTACTGGATAGTTCAGTATAAATAGAATTTCATTAATTTGTTTTTCCTTTCATTGTTGGGGTTTTGTTTTTTGTTTTTTTGCTCTTTCTGCATAGGCAGACCCACAGCTGATGCTGTAACATTAGCTGAAGACAACCCAGCCAACCTTTGTCATATCTTTGAAAAATAATCAAATTGCTTAATAAAGCAATGGCATAATTTTAGTCATTCTTGAGCAGCATGTTTAAAGAGATCTGATAAAAATTATTGTATTATTTCAAGCTCTCTAGCACTTCCAAATTTAGCAATTATATTTTCACACTTTTGGTTAAGCTAACCGTAATGAAGATGATTTTAGAGGTAGGTGTAGATTTTCAGATTCTGGGGAATATTTATATTTTACTGGTAATCTGACAAAACAAACACAGATTAAGCGGAAAGAGCATTCCATTAATAGTTGTGGTCTCTTAGTCTTTTTCTTGTCCTACTTCTCAGATTATAAATTAATTTTTCACATAGAGGCTGAAGCCACAGACTTTTATAGCCTCTCTTTACAAGTCACTACTGTAAAGGATTAAATATTGCAACTCTCTGTCACTAGAAGGATTTTTTTGGTACAGTTTTTCCTTCCCTTCCTTTCCTAATAAAAATGGCACTTTTTAATAATAATGGTATTTTTTTAGTGCTTTCAAATCTTAAAACTGTTTTATATGCTTAATCTAGTTGTGAATGCATAAAGTAAGCCATTATTAATATTGTTTGCCTTCCAGCATTAAAATATAAAGGATAAAGGTACAGGTTGTGATCCACTTTAGAGTACAAGCATTAGCCTAGGTTGTATATTTTGGCAAATTATGGTTTGTGGCAAAGAGAAGGTGATAATTTTGGTCTATGTGAAATGATGGAGAAATAAGAAAAGGAAAGT